CGGTGAATATAATGGATGGGGCATAAAGCGGTCTGGTGATGCCGCTTTTCATGCACTTATGCCATCCTCATCCCGGCTCCCCCCCCCCACTTCCAAATCGCCTGCAAGGTCACACACAGGTGCAGTGCGCGTCGCCTGTCGTCGGGACGCGCAATAAGCGACAGCAATTTTCCGTAAATGCCTTTGCATTGTGTTTGCATCCTGATGATCGCCGTTATTAGTTCCACTCTGGGCTTCTGCTTGTGCTGCTGCTGCTGCCGCGGGGGTCACGCGAATGTGTACGGCGCTGTTGTGCGAGATGCATAGGGTTGAAAACCCTACAGAACTTCCGGAAAATTCCAGAAAATCCAAAACATTTCCGAAAATCTAGAATTTTTTGAAAAAAAAACAAAAACGGAAATTGGACCCTGGAAATTTCCCGCTCTTTTTACCGCACATTTTCCAGAAACTTTCCAGGACTTCGAACCCTTAGGAATGCTTCCCATACGTTACAACACATGAGTAAAGGTTTGTTTATTTTATTTCTTAAAAATAGTAAATTATTTCCAAACGAAACCAGTTTTATGCGGTTGGGGTTCGAGATGACACCTTTGTGAGAGCACTTCCTACTTGCACATTCATTAAACTGCCAGCACTGTTAACCCTCCTCTACGCCCCCCCCCTCCTCCCTCCTCCATTTCGTCCTGGATCCGTCCCTTCATGTTATTGTCCGTGCCGGGCACGTCCTATAGAGGCGCCCAATCATGACGCAGGCCCATTACATGTGAAATCACGAAATCACTTCATAGCAAGCAATTTCACACGCACGCACGCACGTCTGTGAAGGTGACTCTCCCTCCACGGCGTCGCGATCGCATCGGGAGCGCTCCCCATATGACGCTCAAATTTAAATCCAGCGTTTTTTGTTGTTGTTTTAAAGATTGTTCAAAACAAATCAGATGACAATTAGCAGAAAACGGCAGAGAACAAAGAAATGTATTAAGTACTCACCCCCATCAGTCGTGTTGTCGAATTTGTGTGAGTTTGCACGCGGTTTAAACAATGTCTGATTTTTCGAGGGAAAAAAAAATTCTTCCAGGAACTCCCAAAGTTTCAGTGGTACTCCTCCAATTTCTGGGGGAAATCTCCTCCCTGACCGTTTTTGAGGGCACCATCTTAAAAACCTGAGGAGCTTTGACCAAATCATGGAATTCCCCTTTTCATCTTAGAAATAAATAACAAAACAAAACATGAGCCATTTGTTTTTACCGTGTGCGCTTTTACGAATAAAGCGTCCCGAAGGGGGTTCTCAAGGCCGTAGCAGTTTGAGATCGCCTGCCCCCTGGGGGGGAGGCCGCCCAGCGGAGGCCGCCAGCGGAGGGTGACAACTTGCCGGGGCGTATATGAGTGTAATGGAGGTCGCCGGAGCCGGCCGGAAGCGAGCGATCTCCATGAGGCGCCGCCGCCGCCGCGTCAGTTTCCGGGGGAGGGGAGGAGGAGGGGGGAGGGGAGGCCAGCGCGCCGCCGTAGAGAGGGCAGCAGCAGCAGCAGCAGGGGACACAGTCGCACTGGCGCTGTCTGGAACGGACCCATCAGCGCGGTAGCCATGTGACTTTATGACCCGTGTCCACACACACACACACACACACACACACACACACACTCACACACGGCGCGAGAACACCACACACTCCCACATTCATCACACACCGGAAACCCATAAGTGTGTGAATGTTGAACACTTGTATTTGTTTATGAACGCTATACGTATACATGGAATCACAAGTGTGTGAATTTTCAAATTTTACCGCCGTTTATTCTTTAAACACGCATGCCCTAGCGCCCTAGTCAATATGTGGCTTCCTCCTCTCTCCATCTCCCTTTTACACACCTCTCTGCTGGTCTTCTCTACGCGACCAACATCCATACCTTTCCTCTTCTCGGGCTCTCTTTCTCCCCCCCCCCCCCTCCTCCCCCCCGCGAACAATACTCGTTTCTGCATCCATGTACCTTGCGAGGTACCTTGTCACAGTCGTAAAATAAGAGCTTCGCTCACCCCAGCCTGTTTGGGTCTGACCTGCTGCGGGGTCCTTTTTTGCTCTCCTCTCTCGATTCCAGTTATATTTATCCGCCAAATTAAAGCTTCACTCTAAACTTACTTATTCATTATTTTTGGTTAAAACTGTGAGGAAGTCAGGAAAAAAAAATTGACATTAGGCGACAGGGAAGCCCCTGTCATGCGTGAAAGTTTGATGTGGCGGGGTGAGAGTGAAGGGTAATTGTAGCGGAGCGTGGCGGAGCGTGGCGGAGCGTGGCGGGGTGCGAGATGGCCCCCGCGGGCGACGGGCCCTGAGTTATCGTGCCGACACATGTTTACCATCTAGATTGGAGACATGCCTGCTTTTGTTTGGTTTTATTTCCTTTTATCGCTCTTTTCATTCTTTCCTCAACTTGCGCGCGCGCACTCGCGCACTGTCAAACTTTTTTCCTTTTTCTTTTTCTTTCGCACTGCTTTGCCCAACACTTTTGAATCATAAGTCTTTGAACTTATTCAAAAAACGACTCCCCCCCTAATTATTGCGTCTTCTTGATAGTTTATGCTATAGGTGTTAGACTACGTAGGACTTATTTGGGTTTTACCAATAGTTGCTACAATATTTAGACTTGGCATATTTTTGCTTTTCTCTGAAATGAGCGGACAGGATTGGGAGGTGCACTCCCGGCACCTTGGCCTGCTCTCCGTTAAAAATTGTCAGAAAGATGCAGACACGGAGTCATAATTCTTATCCTCGAATTGATTTTCTAATTTCCTGACGCCGATATACGTTATGTATATAAAAAATAAAATGCGACTACTCGGTTTTTTCCCCCTCCACACCGTTTCGATTCATGGCTGTCATATCGCCTCATTTATGCGTTATTTGCTTGGCCGTGTCGCCCCAATCACAGTTTTATATTATTGCATTACGCAAAACGCGGCCAGAATTGGCAATGAGCAGATTTCGTGGCGTCGTCGCAGCGGCCCTGCTGAGGAGAAGTCTCTCTCTCTCTCTCTCTCTCTCTCTCTCTCTCTCTGAGTAAAGTCCGTAGGAGGCGCTGCCATAGTGTCCCCCCAGACAGCGTGTCTCCAGGAGACACTGATTAATCTCCTCATTTATTGCCTTGATTCATCGCCCGATGGACAAACACACATACATAACGATATCGTTTACATTAATACTTTTTTTTTGTTTATTATTATTTCTCGCATCTCTTTCTTATTTTCACATGTCGTTATATGACCGGGGAACTGTAAAAGGCGTGTAATGTAAACATTATTGCTCCCCGCGCACTCGGTGAATATAATGGATGGGGCATAAAGCGGTCTGCGAATAAAAGCTCATATCTGCGAATAACGACTAGCGCTCGTGATGATTATTCGCAGATTACATTCAAATTAGCGCGGGCGAAAGGTCGTCGTGGTTGCGACACGAGCGCCGCAATAATAGGAATACACCGTGTGCGATATATATGCTCCTCATTATTGGCACGGCGATGGCTGCGAATAACGACCGGTCCTGATATGGCCGCCGCCGCTGCAGGGCCCGTTCCAAACGGCGCGAACTCTCTTCTTATTCGTAGAGCACATGTGAGAGTCTTATGCGCTCTGTTATAAGAAATACAGTAACTCGACGTCCGTAAATATTTTTTAAAGTTTACGGACTTGTGCGTTTGAAAAAGTACTAGACATATCGAGCAGTGATTAATCGACACTTCGATAGTCTCGATTCCTCGCTGAGGCCGTCCGCCACCGCGCGGCACATCTTTGTTCGAAAAGCGTTCGCTTCTCGTCGTGTTCTGTTCTCTGTTTTTTTCTTTCTCTAGTTTTAATTCGGTCATCTATTTCTCTGACCGTCGTCGGCTCCTTAGGAAGGTATGGCTTCCCTTTAAATGGTCTCGTGTTTCCAGGGGGCCCATCATAGGCACATTGGGCGGCCCGCGTGACGGGGCAAGATCGGCCACCCACCCGAAACACGTGTCAGGTGGAGAGAGAGAGAGAGAGAGAGAGAGAGAGAGAGAGAGAGAGAGAGAGAGAGAGGTGGGCCTCTTCCAGGTACGCGCTATCAACGTTTGACTCTAAGGTGCCGCTCGCTGGCTAGCCCCGCTCTGATAAGCGGCGTGTTGTCGGAGAGTATCGAGAGGCGCGGCGCGGCGCGTCCTAGACTCATCGCCGCCACACGGTCTCCGTGGACGCGGCCGAGCGAGCGCCGCCTTTGAAGTGTACTGCCGCGGCCCCTTTTTACCTCCCGTGTGGTGTGGGGGGAGAGGGAGAGAGAGGGGGGGGGGGCACGCGCCCAGGCCATGAGCTGTCGTGATCAGCTGACCGGGCGAGGTGTCGGGGACGGCCGACTCTATCGGTGACCGCGTGGTTTGAAAGGAGTTTCTTTTCTCGAATTGTTAAAACGGCTCCGTAAAATTGTTACCTCTTTCCTAAAAAAACAAAAACAAAAAAACTTGGACGTTGTTTTGTACCGTGCGCAAGAGAACACCCTCACGTTAAATGCAAAATAAAATCTCGAAACCCATTTTGTGCCTGTGAGGGTTTACGAACCGGCGAGCGCCACTTTTGACCGAGTACTGTCGACTTTGAGAAATATTTGGTTCTTTTTTTCCATTTCAGATATTCGCCTCATCTAACTATCGTCCATCCCAGCCGCAACATGCCTGTCGAATGCGATGTTTGCGGGACGAGTTGCGCTAGCCGATCGCAACTCAACGTCCACATGCGGAGGCACACCGGAGAGAAGCCGTTCAAATGCGCCGTGTGCCAGAAGGGGTTTATTGCCTCTGGAAATCTGCGCACTCATCTTCTGTCTCACACTGGAGAAAGACCTTTCGAGTGCAACGTGTGCCAAAAGACGTTTTCCAGGAAGTGCGATCTGAAAGTTCATGAACAAATCCACTCTGGCAACAAGCCCTTCGAGTGTGACGTGTGCCAAAAGAGGTTTTATACCAGTGGAGAACGGAAGAAACATCGCGTAGTCCACACGGTTGACAGGAATTTTGAGTGCCCCATGTGCCTAAAGAAGTTTGCTAGACTTGGCTATCTACGGGCTCATCTTCGAAGACATACAGGCGAAAAGCCTTTCGAATGCACCGTGTGCCCAAGAAAGTGTTATACATCTGAAAAACTGCGGGAGCATCTTCGAATCCACACTGGAGAGAAGCCTTTTGTGTGCCCTGTGTGCCGCAAGACGTTTTCTACCCTTAGAAGTATGAGGACTCATCATAAAACACACACCGGAGAGAAGCCTTTTGAGTGCAACATCTGCCTTAAAAAGTTTGTTACCAATGGAAATCTGAAAAGCCATCTACGGACACACACAGGCGAAAAGCCCTTTGAATGCACAGTATGTCAAAGGTCGTTTTCTACCATTAGCGGATTGCGGGTTCATCTTCAAACCCACACAGGCGAGAAGCCTTTTGGATGCACGATGTGTCCCAAAAAGTTTACATTGCCTGCAGACCTGAAAAAACATGTTGTTACCCACACAGACGACAAGCCGTATGAGTGCACTGCGTGTGAAAAGAAGTTCCGTTCATTGGAAAATCTGCGGATTCATCTTCGAGTCCACACAGGCGAGAAACCTTTTGAGTGCACCATGTGTCAAATGAAGTTTCCTTCATATGGACGACTATATCTTCATTTAAAAACCCACACAGACGACAAGCGTTTTAAGTGCACAGTGTGCCGAAAGGCGTTTTTATGGTCTACGGATCTGGAGTTTCACCTTCGAACCCATACCGAATATAAGCCTTATGAGTGCACCATCTGCCATAAGAAATTTTCCAGGTCTGGAAATCTTAATAAACATCTCAAAACCCACACAGGCACCAAACCTTTTAAGTGTAGCGTTTGCCACAAAACGCTTTCTTCCGCTGAAGGATTCCGCGGCTTCATAACCGAACCCACACCCGAACCCTCCCCACACTTTCAAGTTCCATCCATTCCGGAAGGTCTACTTTCTGATGCTATGTCAATAAAGAAACATGAAACTGACTTTTAATTCATGTGCTATGCTCTGCGTACGTGTTTTCCCTCGATTGGCTTAGAATTTTGTTTGCTTTCCTGATACCAATTTAGTACACATAGTGGTGTAAAGAAGTGTGTTAGGTAAACTCTTCATTTATTTTGTTGCTAGCTGCATTGTTTTTTGAAAAAAACCAAAAAACAGCCTGTGCTTAAATATGTTTATTCGCTGTATACTGTCGGTTGATTGATAACTTTTTATTTTCTGTTTTGTGAAGTTCACTTTATTAAATGCCATTTCTCAGTTGGATGTGGAGCAAAACCTATCGTCCTCTTTCCATCGCCTGCTATCCCTTCTGCGCGTTGTCTGGAAACGACTTTCGCAAATCCAGTAACGCGTGTACGATTATTGTGACATTATCAGTCGGGCAGTGCAGAAAGGAAAGAAAGGCAACACAACAACTCCCGGGTGGTGTGGGGGAGAGAGAGAGAGAGAGAGAGAGAGAGAGAGAGGCACGCGCCCAGGCCATGAGCTGTCGTGATCAGCTGACCGGGCGAGGTGTCCGGGACGGCCGACTCTATCGGTGACCGCGCGGTTTGAGAGGAGTTTACCTCAAACTATGTGTGGAAAGCTGGTCAAAATGTTTACCTCTTTCCCTACAAAAAACTGAGACGTCGTGTTGTACCGTGCGAGAAAGAACCCTAACGCTTAATGCAAAATAAAATCTTGGAACCCATTTCGTGCTCGTGAGAGTTTTTGAACCAGCGAGCGCCACTTTGACCCAGTACTGTCGACTTAGAGAAATATTTGATCTTTTTTTTTTCCATTTCAGATATTCGCCTCATCTGTCATCCATCCTAGCCGCAACATGCCCGTCGAATGCGATGTTTGCGGGACAAGGTGCCATCACCGATGGCATCTCATCGTCCACATGCGGAAGCACACAGGAGAGAAGCCGTTCAAATGCGCCCTGTGCCAGAAGGGGTTTACCGCCTCTGGGGCTCTGCGTACTCATCTCCGGACTCACACCGGAGAAAGACCTTTCGAGTGCAACGTGTGCCACAAGACGTTTTCCAGGACGTCGGATCTGAAAGTTCATGAACGAATCCACTCAGGCAACAAGCCCTTCGAGTGTGACGTGTGCCAAATGAGGTTTCCTACCCGTTCGGATCGGATAAAACATAACTTAACCCACACCGGTGAGAGGCCTTATGAGTGCCCTGTGTGCCTGAATAAGTTTGGACGAGCTGGTAATCTACATACTCATCTTCGAATTCACACAGGCGAAAAGCCTTTCGAATGCACCCTGTGCCCAAGGAAGTGTACTACAGCTGACAAACTGAAGGATCATCTTCGAACTCACACTGGAGAAAAGCCTTTTCAATGCGTGGTGTGCCAAAGGATGTTTTCCACAACAAGAGGGCTGAAAGCTCATGTTAAAACCCATACCGGGGAGAAGCCTTGTGAATGCGACGTCTGCCCCCAAAAGTTTTCTACCAATTCAAACCTGAAGAAACATCAAGACGAAACCCACTCAGACGAAAAGCCCTTTGAATGCACTGTTTGCCGAAAGACGTTTTCTTCGATCAGGGCATTGCAGGCTCATCTTAAAACCCACACAGGCGACAGGCCGTTTGAGTGCTCCCTGTGCCAAAAAAAATTTACGTCATCTGGAAATCTTCGGATTCATCTTCAAACCCACACAGGCGACAAACCGTTTGAGTGCACCGTATGCAAAAAAAAGTTTGTTGCACCGTGTTATCTGCGAAATCATCTTCGAACCCACACAGGCGACAAACCGTTTGAATGCATCGTGTGCCATCGAAAATATGCTGTATTGGGTTCTCTGCGAACTCATCTGAGAACCCACCACTCAGACAAGCCTAAGCCTCGTGAGAAGTCTTGTAAGTCTTGATTATGTGCCATAGTCTGCTGACTTTTTTCTTTAGAAAGGCTTAGATTTTTTTCCTCTTTTTTGATGCTAATGTAGTTCACATACATAGTAGTTGTGTAAACAAGTAGAAATAGTAATTCCTTGATTTCTTTTGTTTTTAAGCTGTAT